ATCCAACTTTTAGAGAAGATGAATGGAAGGGATGTTACGAGATGCATTTAATATGCACACTCATCAGCCGTATGTTACAGAAAATTATTGTCAGAATGATGTTAATGATTTCATTGAGATGGGAAGAATTAGAAGTGCTGAAGAGCCAAATGGAGAAGCGGCAAAGTTTTACAAGTTGCTGAATGAAATGGATGAACAACTTTATGAGAGATCAAAGTTTTCAAAGCTTTCTTTCTGCATTCGTCTTTTCCACTTAAAATGCCTGGGAGGGTGGACTGGTAACTCCTTTACGCAATTGTAGGAGTTACTAGGAGAAGTGTTTCCTTTTTCAAAAATCCCTCAATCATGCAAAGATATGAAGAAAATGATAAAAAATTTGGGTCTTGGATATGACAAAATTCATAGTTGTCTGAATGATTGTATGTTATATTGGGGTGATCGAAAAAATCAGGACTCTTGTCATGTATGTGGAAAATCTCGATGGATGATTAGGGAGGCAGAAAATATTACTGAGGATGAAGCTCAAGCACGATCAAGAAAGAAACCGATTAAGATTCTACGATATTTTCCTCTCATACCTAGGCTACAAAGATTGTTTATGTCCTCCAAGACTGCTGAGTCTATGAGGTGTCATCATGATGGCAGAACCGATGATGGATTATTACGGCATCCAGCGGATTCTTTAGCTTAGAAGTCATTTGACAACAAGTATCCAAGTTTTATGAGAGATCCTCGAAATGTCAGGCTCGGTCTTGCAACTGATGGGTTTAATCCATTCAAAATCATGAGTACTTTGTATAGTACTTGGCCTATTGTACTTGTTCCATACAATTTTCCTCCTTGGATTTGCATGAAACAATCATCTTTCATCTTATCCATGATAATCCCCGGCGAGAAAGGCCCCGGAAATGATATTGATATTTACATGCATCCACTAATTACAGAGTTGAAACAGTTATGGGAAGGGGTCGAAACATACGATGTGTTGACGAAGGAGAACTTTAATTTACGCGCGACTTTATTATGGACAATTAATGATTTTCCGCGTATGCAAATTTATCGGGTTGGAGTACCAAAGGTCGTTACGCTTGTCTTTGTTGTGCTATAGAAACATGTTCGAAGTGGTTGGTTAATGGAAAGAAGTTCTCTTATATGGGACATCATCGGTGGTTACCTGATAATCATAGATTTAGAAGTCAAAAGAATATGTTTGATGGTAATGAAGAGTTTCGAAATGCTCCTGACCAAACAATCGGCTCTCAAATATTCAGGATGTTGAAAAATATCAATTTTACTTATGGAAAGATGAATCAACCAAGTAGTTCACGATCAAAGAAAAAGGCAAAGCAAGTCAATGAAGAGGTTGAAGTTGACGAACAAACTGATGATGAGTCTGATGAAGAGGATGATCTAAACGAGGTAGACTTGTGGAAAAAGAGGAGTATATTTTTTGAGTTGCCTTATTGGAAAAAGCAGATTTTGAGACATAATCTTGATGTAATGCATATTGAAAAGAATGTTTGTGAGAATATTATCGGGACCATTTTGAATGATGGTAGAAAATCTTAAGATAATCTTAAGAGTCGACTTGACTTAGTGGACATGGGAATTCGACATGATCTTCATCCGCAATTACGTCCAAATGGTAGAAAAAGAGGTGTTTTGCATGGTGTTGAAGGATATAAAAGTCCCAGATGGGTATGCATCAAACATTTCTCGATGTGTCAGTGTTAAAGATTGAAGACTTTATGGTTTAAAGTCACATGATTATCACATATTAATGCAAGATTTACTGCCAGTAGCTGTTCGTTGTTGCATGTCGAGTAAGGTGACGTCTTGTATCATTGAACTTTCTAATATAATGAAAGCCATTTATAGGAAAGTTCTAATGGTTGAAGAACTTGATAAACTGCAAGATCGAGTATCATTGACTTTATGCAACTTGGAGAAGATATTTCTACCTTCATTCTTCACAATTATGGTGCATCTGGTAATTCATCTTCCTCACGAAGCAAGAGTTGGTGTGGTCCAATTTTCTATCGATGGATGTACCCTATTGAGAGATGTTATTTGAATATCACGTTTCAAATTACTACTGATTATACCTCTCACTCAAATTTATTTACGTAGTATGTTGTTTTGTGTATAGGTTCTTGGGCAAGTTGAAGTCTTATTGTCGTAATAAGCGTTATCCGGAAGGATCAATTGCTGAAGGGTATTTGGCAGAGGAATGTATGACATTTTGCTCTAGATATTTGGAAGATGTTGAAACAAGATGGAATAGACCAAATCGAAATGATGTGTTAAGTACTGATGACTTACCTCAACATTATTTCTTTAGAAGTTATGGTCAACCATTAGGGAAAGTTGAAATTGCACACTTAGATGACACGTCTTGGGTACAAGCACACCGATATGTTATTTTCCATCACGATTCAATAGATCCCTTTCGCACGTAAGTCTTTCGGACCCAATCCTAATGAAATCTCTTTATCTTTTATATTTATCAATTTTTAACGACATAATATTCTTTATAGTGAGTTTAAAGAAGTATTGAGATCTCGAGCACGCTCCCGAATATTAAATCAGCGAGAGCTACATAAGTTACTCACAGAAACTTTTCATGAATGGTTAGGCTAGACGATAAGCAACTAAATCTTACGGAACACTTATAAATTATATACGTCTTGCTTTTTATATCGACGTCAATTCAAATTAATTCACCATTCATGTGTAATAGGTTTGGAGTGGGAGAGAAGTTAGTGAAGAAGTTAAATGGATTTCTCAAGGTCCAAATAGAATATTTAAAAGATATAATGCCTTCCTCATTAATTGGTTCAGGTTCCACATGAAATCTCGTGAAAGATTAAGAAGGACACAAAATTGTTTGAGTCGTAGTTACTTCGTCAACTATAAGTTATGCTATTGTAAGGGACAATAATCCGCAGGAGGGAGAGGTCGATTATTATGGAAATCTTACGGACATTATTGAGTTAGATTATTATGGAAAACGAAAGGTTGTGTGTTTCGGTGTGACTGGGTTTATGTAAACATGTATAAAAAGAGATAAATTCGGGTTTATAATGGTTAATTTCTGTCGATTAATTCAAACGGGTCAACGTTTGATGGATGAACCATATGTATTTTCTTCTCAAGTGAAACAAGTATTTTATTGTCACGATCCAATGGATGACGGTTGGTATGTTGTGCTTTGAAATACTCCCAGAGACTTGATAGACATCGGGGATGGAAGTAGAGATGACATTGAAACAAGATCAGAAAGTTTACCTCTATTACCACAAAACTTAGATGAAACTATCAGTAATACAACACAATTTCAATGGGTTCGGGAGGATGTTGATGAATATATTTATGACAAATGACATTATATAAGACTTTTGTATGATTTTATATCTTTATTTATTTATTTATAATGTTATAACCTTAACATGTTATCTTTCAATATATTCATTAATTAATTCATTTTTTATTACTCATGTTTGTTTATTAGATATCATGCCGAGGAGAAAAATAAATAATTGCGGGTTGTTGAGCTTCTAAAGACCATGAAGAAAGAAATAACGAGGAATCGAATGCACATGAGTCTTCCGAAGTTCCGGAAACTGTTGAAGAAGACGTAGAAATTCAAAGTATTCTTCGAAACATTATTTACTACTTTGTTCATTTTCAAAACTAGCATTTAATAATTTCTTATATAGTTGAAAATGCTGGAACGCGCAAGACTCGAAGACGTACAACTTTGAAGGAATTATACCAACTTCCTCGTGGGCATCATGTCAAAGTTTCAAGAAACGATGTCGGTCAACCTATTGGCCCAGAATCACGTTTTCTAGCAGGTTACTTAGGCATAGTTGGACGTAATGCGAATCTGTTACCGATCAATTACGAGTCATGGCGTGAAAGTGCAATAGTAACAAAAATCAAGAATTGGATTTTGTTAAGGTAATAATGTCATTATAATACATACTATATAGAAATTCAATACTAATTTATATTTACGGTGCACACTTATATGTTGTATAGGAGAAATTTTCTTTAGAGGTCTCTGAGATTATGTGAAGCAAACGTTAGGGAAGAGATTGAGGGATCACAAGAGCTCCTTAAAGAAGAAATACTTCAAGCATGATCTCATCCTTGAACAGAAGTTGCAAACAGTCCCACCAGGAATGCTCAGGTACCAATGGGAAGATGCAGTTAGATTTTGGAGTTCACAAAAAGTACAGGTATGATGTATTTTTCAGAAATAATTGTAACGAATTGTAAATCATCATTAAAAGTGGTTGTTTGACATTGTAAACCTGAGAGCATATTGGTGTTGCTAGTAGGCAACAAAAAAAGTTTACGCACACGGCTAGATCGAAGAGTTTTGCTTGTATAGCTCATGAGGAGGTATTATAGATTATTGAAATAGTTTTTTTGTATTCCATGTACATACTAACTCATAGTAATTATATTATGGTACATTTTAGGAAAATACATCCGGTTCTAAAGTTGGTCGAATCCAACTCTTCGACATGACACATACGAAGAAGGATGGCACTCCTATGACTGCTGACGCTGCAGAAATTATGGTACGTTTTTTGGGTAGATGTTTTAAATTTACCTGATTTATTTATTTGTACCATGACATTTTTATTTTAATTAATTATTCACTTTATTAGGAAAAATTGAGGGAGAAAAAGGCGGAGTATCATGTTACTGCTTCGAGTCAAGGTATTGTTAATGATGATGACATTGAAAACCAAGCTATTAATGACATTTTGGGTCTTGAAAGATATGGTCGGGTGCGCTGTCAAGGATCATTCGTTACTCCACCAAATATTTTGGATCCAGTTCATCACAGTACATCACACATCTCAATATTCCCACCAAGAAGTTTGTCGTTTAAAAGATAAGTTGGCTGAGATGGATCAACAAATGGCTAACTTGAAAGCGGAAAATGAAGCAAGGGAAGCAGAGAGAGCAACAACAGAAGCAACCAAAGCAGCAGCGGAAGAAAAGAAAGAAGCAGCGGTAACACATAGAGAAGTAGCGACAGCACAGAGAGAAGCAACATAGCAGCAGAGATGTGAAGAATTTGTAAAATGACTCAATGATATGATGCTGATGATTCAGAAAACGCAACCTCAGAATTCATCATCGTAGTCTCATTTATGTTATGGCATTCTACTGAACCTTCTGTAACTGAAATTATTACGTTAATGAAAACTTTTATTTATTATATTGGATTTGATGTTGTTTCTTATGAATATAGAGTTTGAAATTATTATTGTTTTGTTTGTTGGATAATGGAATAGGTTGAAAAAATAGTTTTGGGGTAATCAAACATAATTTTTAGGATTGTTAAATTCTGTGTTATCAAACATAATTTTTAGGATTGTTAAATTCTGTGTTATTTAGCAACGTTTGTAAAAAAACCGCCGCAATATACCATACATTTAGCGACGTTTTTATCCTAGAAACACCGCTATATACAGACCTATACCATTGTTTTTAGCAGAAACGCCGCAAAACATCAACACCTACTGTGGCGTTTTAACAAAAAACGCCGCTAAACATCATAACATATTACGGCGTTTGTCTGAGAAACGCTGCTAAATATTAACACCTATTGCGGCATTTTTATGACAAACGCCGCGAAATATCAACACCTATTGCGGCGTTTTTATAAAAAACACCACTAAATATCAACACCTATTACAGCTTTTTTGAAAAACGCTGCTAAATATCAACACCTATTGCAGCGTTTTTATGACAAACGCTGCTAAATATCAATACCTATTGCGGCATTTTTATAACAAACGCCACTAAATATCAACACCTATTGTGGCTTTTTTATAACAAACACCACTAAATATCAACACCTATTGCGACGTTTTTCACACAAACGCCGCTAAATATCAATACCTTTGCGGCGTTTTTTGTGAAAAAACGCCGCAAACTTTAGTTGTGCTATTTTCAACGGCGTTTTTGCGTTTGTCTTAACGCCGCATGTGTTTTTAGCGGCGCTTATAAACGCCACTAAAGGTAAAAAAAAAAGCACCGTAAAAAGCCTGTTTTGCAGTAGTGTATTATCGATACTACTATGCTTAAAAATCATTTTTGACTCGATTGAAGTTCGAAACCCTTGGTAAAAATTCATTTCAAAAATATTTCCAGTATATGACTTAATTTTTCAATAGAGTGAGGAGTAAAATTGACCTTTTAACTTTAAAGAATAATTTATATATTCGAACGAATGAATCAAATATAATTTAAAATTTGTAAAAACTATTTAACTATTTTTGGTATATAAAAATATCAAAGTGTTTTCAATAATCTCCCCTTTTTTAATATAACAAAACATTTAAGAATTTTAAGATTTTCTTGAAAAAATACTCCCCTACTTTAACATTTCTCCCTTTTTGTTAAATCAAAAAGATAAGTTTCAGAATAAACAAGATAAATAATAAAGCTATGAAGATCAAAAAGGCCAAACAAGTTAGTCAACTTAATTAATATCCATTGGCAGTGGGAATGGTCACAATAAAAGGAAACATGACTGAAAACATTCAAAATATTTTAAAAATTAAAAAAATTATCAGATCATCCAAAACATAAAAGAAATACCAAATCCAAAATATCAAAATCTAAGAAAATCACACAAAAATGCAAGTTCAAAGTATGGCATGCAACATCAACGAAAATGTAACTAGAAAAGCAAAACGATCAGGCATCCGATGGAGGATCAGGATCGAAAGAGGTGCGCAGAAAGAAGAAAATTCTCAAGAAAGAGCACTGAGTCTATTCGTCACCACGTCAAATCGATCAAGGATGTCTCGTCGAGATCGCATGCATCGCTTGCAGTGCCAACTACTGAGAAGTTATCTTGGATACCTGAGTCCCTAAAGTAATAAAGTGGACTCAATAGAAGCAAACCTCAAGTCCAACATCTCCATCATGGACTGAAGGTAAGGATTCATCTCACCACAAGTGCTATGAGGCTCGTCAGGAGCGCAATTCACTGGATCATCAACGTTATGTAGTACATCATCATCCTGAGGTTGAGCTGGAGCTGCTTGTGATGAACTTGCATCGGGCGACTCTTTAGCTTTCCTTTGCCAAGTGTCTCCAACTTTAGTCCATCCCGACTTACGAAGAGATGTGAGATCAATATGGGTACCCAAGGGGATGGAATCATCAATATCGACTTTAAGACCGACTTTTATAAAGAAATTGTTAAGAAGACAACCATAAACAAGAGATTCGACCCTCTTATCCACTAATTCACCGAAGATGATTTGAGCGGGTTAATTCTTTTATTTTCTTGAAAGCAATGAATCCACCAAATGTCAATGCTACGTAGAGAGTAAAATTTACCTCCGGATGGTCAAAACCACCAAGAATTGAATAGAAAATGCGAACGAGTTGTGATAAACAATAGGTTTGACTTTTAACGTGTTATCAAATTTCTAAGCTTTGAAACGTGGAATGTATTTAAAATTAATGGCGCTCATAGCCGGAACAAAAGGGAGACGCTCATCCCTAATGGCATAAAATTCAAAATGATTAAGATATCGGAATAAATTTTGACGATTGGGTTTATTAAAACAAGAGTTCAAAATGGTTATTTCATTTTGATTGGAAGTAGGATTTTGATGAGGGTTAGGAGGTGGATTATCATGAGAGGAGGATGACCGAGGATGTTTATGAGACATGGTAAGATTCAGGATAAAGTAAAACCTGCAAAGAAAAACAATATATATGTATGCAATCAATCAATCCCAAAACTCAATATGAGTCTACAATTCAAGGCATGATATAACAAAATTAAATTTAAAAAAAATAATGGGCCAAAAAGAAAATAGTGTTAAGAAAAATATATATAAACAAAAGTATATATACAATTTAATTTTTTAAAGAATTTCAAATTTGAATGAACGTAGTTAAAAACAATGTAGATTCTAGTGTAGAAAATACAAAAAAGTAAGCATTCACTAATTTAATAAAAAAACTAACTAAAACTAAGCCTAAATTTGAAAAGAAAAATTTAGGGCTTTCCAAAAATTACCTTGAAAAGTTGGATTGAGAAGGAATTTGAACATGAACGCACAAATTTGTTGATGCTAGCAGGTTGGAATGATGAAAATCAACACAAAAACGACTACAAAATGAAGAAATGAAGCAAATTTTCGTGGAGGTTAGGGAATGTTTCGGCGGCACTTGAGGAAAGGGAAAAAAATAAAAAAAGTGAATTTTTAGGGAAATATATGCTAAACCTGATCTGGAGTATCGGTACTCCAATAGGATTATCGATAGTACAAAGCATAAATATGATGGTATCGATACCGAATATCGATATCGATATCGAGACTGCAAGAACAATATCGGTACTTGAAGAACAATATCAATACTGACAAAGAACAATATCGGTACTAGATGAACAATACCGGTATTGAATGCACATAATGGTCAAAAAATGTAACAAATAAGAAAAAATATGATGCATATTTTAAATCATTAATAATGGAGCGGGCAACTCTAAATAGGCAAAGTAAATATGTTCAACCAAGCAAATTTACATTTAAACTTAACGTGAACATATTGTCAATTTACATGAAAGTCATAAACTCCCCTAACTAATAGCATAGAAGACATTAAAGAGGTCATATTGCATGCAATTTTCATAAAATCATAAAACTGCATAAATTGTTTAAACACAAAGTCAAGGTAGGTTGGTTAGACCTAATTCTCTCCTAAGTGCCCAAAATCTTTCTTTTTCTAAAGGTCTTGTAAAAATGTCAGCTACTTGATGCAAATATCTACATACTCTAGAACTATATATTCTTTTGAGACATGATCTCTAATGAAATGATGTCGAATTTCTATATGCTTTTTCTAGAATGTTGGATGGGATTTTTAGCGAGACAAATAGCATTAGTATTGTCACACTTGATAGGAATGATACCCACATCAATTCCATAGTCTAAAAGTTGTTGTTTCATCCACAAAACTTGTGCACAACAACTATCAGCTGAAATATTTTTTGCTTTGGTGGTAAACAGTGCGACACTATTTTGTTTCTTTGAAAACCAAGAAATTAACATATTTCCTAGGAATTGACATGTACCGAAGGTGTTTTCCCCATATAATTTGCAACCTCCATAATCTGCATCCGAGAAAGCATGCAAACTAAAGCTAGAGTCTCTAGGATACCAAAGTCCTATGCAAGGGGTGTCCTTAAGGTATATAAAGATTCTCTTAATGACTTGTAAGTGAGACTCCTTAGGACATGATTGAAATCTAGCACATAAGCAAACACTAAACATAATGTCCGATCTACTTGTGGTAAGAAAGCAATGATCAAATCATAGACCTATAAAGTTTAACATCTACACACTTACCTTCTTCATCTTTGTCAAGCTTTGTAGATGAACTCATAGGAGTGGCTTAGGGTTTCACGTTTTCCAATCATAACTTCTTGAGCATATCTTTAATGTATTTTGTTTGATTGATGAAGATGCCATCTTTTCTTTGCTTGATTTGGAGCCCCAAGAAAAATGAAAGCTCCCCAATCATGCTCATATCAAATTCACCTTGCATTAGCTTAGCAAATTCTTGGCAAAGATAGTCATTAGTAGAACCAAAAATTATATCATCAACATAAATTTAAACTACTAATAAATCTTTACCTTTACATTTTATAAATCTTTTTCTAGGAGCTTCTTCTAAACCATATACAACTTTTGTCAATTTGAAAACATGATTTGGAAATTTTGAATCCTTAAAACCGGAAGGTTGTTCCACATACACTTCTTCTTTTATAAAACAATTTAAAATGCACTTTTAACATCCATTGGAAATAAAGTAAATCCATGATAACATGAAAATGCTAATAACATTCTAATAACCTCCATCCTAGCTACGCGAGCATAAGTTTCATCAAAATCTATTCTCTCTTCTTGGGTGTACCCTTGAGCAACAAGTCTAGCCTTGTTTCTCATAATATT